AATTTTGAAATTATAGCAATTCACGTATTTTACTATTGTTTAAAACAAAAATACATATTTTGCTGTTAAAAACAGCAGCCACATTGTCCTTTAACAAAAATATTTATTAAACACATCATTTATACTTTCTGTAACTTGCTTTTTGTCTTAATATTTTGTGGAATACATGCAAATCAATTTCTTTTTTTTTAATAGTTTCATAGCATTATATACTTTGAAGGTAACATATTAAATTTAATGGACATTCAGGCACTTTCAAATGTTCACAGTAGTAAGATATGTAAAGAACATTCTTGCATAACTTTTTTACATACTTAGATATTTTAAAATAATTTTTTGTCATTTAAAAATATATACAAAAATATATAAAATCTATACCTCCACAAGTTCCTTTACTTAGCATTTGATTGCTTTGAGCAAACTTCAGACATATTATTTCTTCTATAAAATCTTAAAGATAAAAACTTCCTTAAAAACAAATAATTTAAGGAAGATTTTAAAATATTATAGGTCTTGTTCAAGTAATATGAATAAAATGCTACTGTGGGAAGTGTTAGGAGCAATTTATTCTCCCTGATGGAATTTGGGCAATTTTTACTCATTAAAGTCTTTCTCTTGGATCATTCATTAGTCACAGTGAGGTTCTCAACAAGGTATATATAGATCTAAAATAATTTTTTAAGAACTGAAATGACAGCCAAAAGCAATGATTCCTTTTTGTGATAATGAAATGAAAGGATAAATGGAACCCCTGATAATTTAGAAAATACTTTAGACACACATTTTTACATAATTATGTATATACATGCAATTTTCAGTTGCTATGAATTGTCAGTGTAATTTCCCCAGACAGATAATATACTTAAGGTAATATATCCCAAGTGTATCAAACTTTGCATAAGCATAATTTTATTGCACAGTGAAAATTGCCTAGATTCCATACCTACTGTTGAAGTATGCATCAATGGACAATATTTGTCCTGGGTCACAGATACAGAAATACTTGTCAGTTTCACCAAGGAAATTTTCAGTAGTTAAGCAACTGGGATTTAAGTCAGTTACATCAAAGAAATTTTCAATTGCTAAGCAAAAACAGAGCTTGGTGTTTTTATATACACGACAAAATTTAAGACAATTGTGAAGTGTATAGTAATATTCTCTTTGTAAAGTAATGGAACTAAAGATCCAAGATTGTATTTAAATTGCTTAAGGTTCTGCACCACAAGGGGCAGAGCTGGAAACTGACAAAAGTCCATATTTCCACATATCACTTTTCTTGACATGCTATATGAGCACTTACGTACCTACTCTAATTTTATTTCTGTCTTTCATACATCTATGTTTTTGAAATAGAAAGTTCATTTCTGATTTGGGTCTATGTCTAAGCAATAATCTTACTCATGTCCTATGCCTAGTTAAGATGTCAGAACTTGAGAATTCATACTCAATTCTAGTAAAATTTCATATGACAGTCCATTGAGATAATTCACAAGTGGCATCAATGATGTATCTAAGGCTAAAATGTAATAGTGTGGTTGACTAAGAATATGGTTTTGATTACTGTATGTTCAACTCCTTACAGATGGACTATCTTGAAGAAGAAAAAATAAATTATTCTGAGAAATTACTTTATCCTCAAATTAAAGTAACTGCAAATGCTGATATGTCTAGGATGTCTTCCCCATCCTTGTATCATGTATTTCATTCGTAGCCAGGGAACATTTTTTATAATGCTGATCCATTATTTAAATCTAATTTCCTAATTCACTCTACATGTTAGTCACTAAAATTTGTATCCCTAACTCTTCGGTTCATATCTAATTAATACCTACTCCCTAAAAATAATACCTGGTTTCTTATCGTTTCGAGCAGTCCTTTAGTATTGAAATGTGTGTGTGTGTGTGTGTGTGTGTGTGTGTGTGTGTGTGTATAATATGTGTATTGGAGGGATCTGCAAAATATGCAGGATATTTATTCCACAAAGATAGCCACTTTTCCACTTGCCTACTCCCATTATATATTTAGTCACCCTGGAACCCTCCATTTCAATTATTTTAAATAGGATAGGATCCTTTACCCCAGGAAAAGGAGTAAGTGTGAAAAAAAGGTATCAAGGATTATTCTGCATTTTATGGCCTGACTGAGTGAATAGAGATCTCATTTACTAAGAATGGAAACAAAGGGGCAGAAGTAGATATAACACAGTTGGACAAGAGAGAGTAAAAATCAAGAGATGTCTTCTGATGAGATATCTTTCAATGCCATTATAAACATCCTTGTACTTATCTCCTTGAGTACATTGGAGAATAGCTTATTTTTAATTATTTAATTTGGGGGGTATATAGTAGGTGCATATGTATTTATAGGCTGCATGAGATGTTTTGATTCAGGCATGCAATGTGAAGTAATCATATCATGGAGAATGGGGTATCCATTCCCTCAAGCATTTATCTTTTGTGTTACTAATAATCCAGTTACACTCTGAGTTATCACTGACTATAGTCATCCTTTTGTGCTGTCAAATAGTATGTCTTATTCATTCTTTCTATTTTTTTTTTTTTTTTTTGTATGCATTAACCATCACCACCTCACCAACAGGCCTCCACCACTCCCCCAGCCTCTGGTAACCATCCTTCTACTCTCTATGTCCATGAGTTCAATTGTTTTGATTTTTAACTCCCACATATAAGTGAGAACATGAAATGTTTCTCTTTCTGTGCCTGGTTAATTTCACTTAACATGATGATCTCCAACCCCATTCCTGTTGTTGCAAATGACAAGATCTCATTCTTTTTTATGGCTGAATAGTACTCCATTGTGTATGTGTACCTCATTTTATTTTTTTGCCTTTTATGTAATTCAGTGGTACTTAGTTTATTCACACTTGTTCAATCATCGCCACTATGTAATTTAAGAACATTTGTATCACTCCAAAAAGCCCTGTATCTATTAACAGTCACTTCTCATCTTTCAACTCCAACCTCCTGCCAGGCCCTGGCAAACACAAATCTTCCCATGCCTATGAATTTTCCTATTCTAGCATTTCATATGAATGGGATCTTATAACATGTGGTCTTTTGTGACTGGCTTCTTTCACTTAACATAATGTTTTTAAGGTTCATCCATGTTGTAGCATGCATCAGAATTTCATTCTTTTAAAGGTTGAATAATATTCCATTGTATGGAATCCACATTTTGTTAGTCAGGTGTGGTGGTGCACACCTGTGGTCCCAGCTACTTGCGAAGCTGAAGCAGGAAGATCACTTGGACCCAGGAGGTCAAAGCTGCAGTGAGCTATGACCATACCACTGCACTCCAGCCTGGGTGATAGAGTGAGACTTTGCACCTATTAAAGCAAACATTGGGAGTCCACGGCAGGCAGATTGCTCGAGACCAGGAGTTTGAGACCTGTCTGGGCAACATGGTAAAACCTCATCTCTACAAAAAATTTAAAAATCATCCCAGTCTGGTAGTGCATACCTGTAGTCCCACCTACTCAGGAGACTGACGTAGGAGAATCACTGGAAGTCAGGAGGTAGAGGCTGTAGTTAACTTTTCAGAAAACAAATTTTTCGTTTCATTAATCTTTTGTATTGTTTTCTTCATTTCAATTTCATTTATTTCTGCTTTAATTATTATTATTTCTTTTCTTCTACTTTCCCATTTGGCTTGCTTTTGCTTTTGTAGTTCTTTAAGATTCATTACTACATTGTTTATTTGAAGCTTTTTCTCTTTTTTGATGTAGGCAGTTATAGCTATAAACTTCCCTCTTAGTAGTGCTTTTGCTATATCTCATAAATTTTGGTGGGTTATGTTTCCATTATCATTTGTTTCAAGAAATTTCGGAATTTCTTTCTTAATTTCTTCATTGACCCACTGGTCATTCAGGAGCATATTGCTTAATTTCCACATATTTGGATCATTTCCAAAATTCCTCTTGCAATTAATTTCTAGTTTTATTCCACTGACCACAGTGGAATAAGTCTTCTCTCACCACAGTGGTCTACCCATTTCCACCTTGACATAGCACCAAGAGGCTGACCTATGTGGACTGCATCAACAGACTCCCTTGCCTGTGGCTTCTGGGAGACACTGGCAGAGGAGACTGAGGCTTGGGTACTTCTCTGGCTCTTCCCCTTTTGGGTCACCTGAGTTGGCTGTGACCCTCCACCAAATGCTATATCCTGACAGGTGGTCCTCTCATCACAGCTCTCCAGGTTCTAGTAACTGCCCACATCTTTTGCCCCTCCAGGTTTTCAGCAGATCACTATCCCTGGAATATGGCATTACCTTTGAAGCTTTTCCTAAGTTCTGCTCACAATTTTATAGTCTCTTTATTACATTCTCTTTGATTATCCAGACTATTCAGCTATAACATGTTTTTGTTTTTTGTTTTTTGTTTTTTCTGGAAAGGGAAGGATGATTCAGAGGATAGAACCAAAAGCCCAGAGGGCAGAGCCAAGAGAGAAAGAACCTATTTAACAGGGACCAATGACTGGCCCCTGATCAAGAAAATGGCAATTTGTATCCACAAATGGCAATTTGTAAATGTTATGGGACAGTGATTGCTATGTGACTCCTGTATTCCCCATTTATAAACAAAAGTGTTTACTAAAGTTATCCTACCCCTGTATCAACAGTATGTGTTAGGTGTGTAGCAAGCAGATGACTTGTCTCTTTATTTCATGTCTTCAAGTCTAATTACAGCAGATAACTTCTTTCAAAAATTCTAACTTAAAAAGAATTTTCAGTAGATTGTGTATTTTTAAAATATAAACACATTTGACTTTTTTAAATTATAAATTTAACTTAATTTTGTAGAGGTAATTTACTATATGCCTCTGATTTACTATTTGATAGCTGAAAATCCACCCACTACTAACAAAAGCTCAATGCTGGTAATGATGTATGGCCAGCTATATTTCAGATATTCAATTTCTTTTCATTACTTTATTTTGGAATATTACTTTGTCAATCATTATAAAAAAGAACAGACATCACTAGAAAATATTTTTAAGCTCTCTCTTCAGAGCCCCTATAATCTCCTTGCTCGTGAGGCTGTAGATCAGGGGGTTCAACATGGGAATCACCACCACGTAGAACACAGACATCACCTTGTTCTGGTCAGTTGAGTAGCTGGACTTGGGCATCACATAAATGAATGTAATGGTCCCATAGAACAGAGTGACTGCAGTGAGGTGGGAGGTGCAGGTGGAGAAGGCCTTGTGGCGCCCCTCAGTGACGTGCATCTTCAGGATGGTGATGAGGATGTAGATGTAGGAGAGGGCTATAACACACACAGTGGCCACAATGATGGAGCCAGTAGAAAATGAGGGAATGACTGCAGGGATACTGGTATCAGAACAGGAGAGTTCAAGTAAAGGAGTAAAATCACAGAAAAAATGATTGACTTGATTTGGTCCACAGAAGAATAAAGACAGGAAGGAAAAAGTAGAGGAGGAAGAGTTAAGAAAACCACCTATATAAGCCACTAGGAGTAGCTGAACACAGACTTGTGTGGACATTTTGGTTGAATAAAGCAGTGAGCTGCAAATTGCCACAAAGCGATCATAGGCCATGGTAGCCAGAAGGAAGCATTCGACTGTGCCAAAGAAAAACACTGAACTAAGCTGGATGGCACATCTAAGGTAAGAGATTATATTTCTCTCCATGAGGAAGGTCATAAGCAAGTTGGGTGTGACAGAAGATGAATAGCCCATGTCAACAAAAGCCAAGTGACTCAGAAAAATGTACATAAGATGATGAAGCTGAGAAGAGATTCTGATAAGAATGATTGTGCTGAGATTGCCAGATATGGTCACCAGGTAGATGCATAGGATAATCATGAAGAGGATGACTCCAAGGATTGGACTATCTGTTAAGCCCAGTAAGATGCACTCCATCACAGCAGTGTGATTCCCGTCTTCCAGGGAATCCATGAGACGAAGTGGCTGCTGACTAAATGAACCCATAATGAGAACAGCACATTAAAGCAGTAAAAACTTGTTGGTTTCATTTTCACTTGAAGTCATTTTGAAGACATTCAACATCAGTACATTTTTCACATCAAATGATGAGTTTATGTTTCTCTGTTTTTTGTTTTTTTTTTTTTTTTTTTTTTTTTTTTTTTTTTTTTTTTGAGAGGGAGTCTTGCTCTGTCGCCCAGGCTGGAGTGCAGTGGCAAGATCTCCACTCACTGCAAACTCCGCCTTCCAGGTTCACACCATTCTCCTTCCTCAGCCTCCCGAGTAGCTGGAACTACAGGCACCCACTACCATGCCCCGCTAATCTTTTTGTGTTTTTAGTAGAGATGGGGTTTCACCATGTTAGCCAGGATGGTCTTGATCTCCCAACCTTGTGATTGGCCTGCCTCGGCCTCCCAAAGTGCCAGGATTACAGGTGTGAGCCACCACACCCGGCCAAGTCTATGTTTTTAAAAAAGTTTTTTTTTCAAATATTTTATTGAATATAATTCAATAGAGCATATATACTAATTATAATTTAAATCAGAAATTAACAATTTGTATTTCTTTTTGAAAAGCCCCAAATTACTTGTTTAATATTTGATATAGACATTTATATAGCAACAAGGTTATTGTGAAATAAAATGTCTTAAGATGAAGAGTCATGTTGAGGTTAACCATACTTGATAAGCATTTATTATTTTTTTTTAATTTTTTTTATTATACTTTAAGTTCTAGGGTACATGTTCACAACGTGCAGGTTTGTTACATATGTATACTTGTGCCATGTTAGTGTGCTGCACCCATCAACTCGTCAGCACCCATCAACTCATCATTTACATCAGGTATAACTCCCAGTGCCATCCCTCCCCCCTCTCCCCTCGCCATAATAGGCCCTGGTGTGTGATGTTCCCCTTCCTGAGTCCAAGTGATCTCATTGTTCAATTCCCACCTATGAGTGAGAACGTGCGGTGTTTGGTTTTCTGTTCTTGCGATAGTTTGCTAAGAATGATGGTTTCCAGCTATATCCATGTCCCTACAAAGGACACAAACTCATCCTTTTTTGTGGCTGCATAGTATTCCATGGTGTATATGTGCCACATTTTCTTCATCCAGTCTGTCACTGATGGACATTTGGGTTGATTCCAAGTGTTTGCTATTGTGAATAGTGCCATAATAAACATACGTGTGCATGTGTCTTTATAGCAGCATGATTTATAATCCTTTGGGCATATACCCAGTAATGGGATGACTGGGTCATATGGTATTTCTAGTTCTAGATCCTTGAGGAATTGCCATACTGTTTTCCACAATGGTTGAACGAGTTTACAATCCCACCAACAGTGTAAAACTGTTCCTATTTCTCCACATCCTCTCCAGCACCTGTTGTTTCCTGACTTTTTAATGATTGTCATTCTAACTGGTGTGAGATGGTATCTCATTGTGGTTTTGATTTGCATTTCTCTGACGGCCAGTGATGATGAGCATTTTTTCATGTGTCTGTTGGCTGTATGCATGTCTTCTTTTGAGAAGTGTCTGTTCATATCCTTTGCCCACTTTTTGATGGGGTTATTTGTTTTTTTCTGGTAAATTTATTTGAGTTCTTTGTAGGTTCTGGTCTTTACATTTTGGCATGTTTTTGCAATGACTGGTACCGGTTGTTCCTTTCCATATTTAGTGCTTCCTTCAGGATCTCTTGTAGGGCAGGCCTGGTGGTGACAAAATCTCTAAGCATTTGCTTGTCTGTAAAGGATTTTATTTCTCCTTCACTGATGAAACTTAGTTTGGCTGGATATGAAATTCTGGGTTGAAAATTCTTTTCTTTAAGAATGTTGAATATTGGCCCCCACTCTCTTCTGGCTTGTAGAGTTTCTGCTGAGAGATCTGCTGTTAGTCTTATGGGCTTCCCTTTGTGTGTAACCCGACCTTTCTCTCTGACTGCTCTCTTAACATTTTTTCCTTCATTTCAGCTTCGGTGAATCTGACAATTATGTGTCTTGGAGTTGCTCTTCTCGAGGAGTATCTTTGTGGCATTCTTTGTATTTCCAGACTTTGAATGTTGGCCTGCCTTACTAGGTTGGGGAAGTTCTCCTGGATGATATCCTGCACAGTGTTTTCCAGCTTGGTTCCATTTTCCCCCTCACTTTCAGGCACACCAATCAGACGTAGATTTGGTCTTTTCACATAATCCCATATTTCTTGGAGGCTTTGTTCATTTCTTTTTCCTTTTTTTTCTCTAGACTTCTCGTCTCGCTTCATTTCATTCATTTGATCTTCAATCATTGATACTCTTTCTTCCAGTTGATCGAGTCAGTTACTGAAGCTTGTGCATTTGTCACGTATTTCTCGTGTCATGGTTTTTGTCTCTGTCAGTTCGTTTATGGCCTTCTCTGCATTGATTATTCTAGTTATCCATTCTTCCATTCTTTTTTCAAGATTTTTAGTTTCTTTGCTCTGGGTACATAGTTCCTCCTTTTGCTCTGAGAAGTTTGATTGACTGAAGCCTTCTCCTCTCAACTCGTCAAAGTCATTCTCCATCCAACTTTGATCCATAGCTGGTGATGAGCTGCGTTCCTTTGGAGGGGGAGATGCACTCTGATTTTTTGAATTTCCAGCTTTTCTGCCCTGCTTTTTCCCCATCTTTGTGGTTTTTATCCGCCTTTGGTCTTTGATGCTGGTGATGTACTGATGGGGTTTTGGTGTAGGTGTCCTTTCTGTTTGTTAGTTTTCCTTCTGACAGTCAGGATCCTCAGCTGTAAGTCTGTTGGAGATTGCTTGAGGTCCACTTCAGACCCTGTTTGCCTGGGTATCAGCAGCAGAGGCTGCAGAATATAGATTATTGCTAAACAGCGAGTGCTGCTGTCTGATTCTTGCTCTGGAAGCTTCATCTCAGGGGTGTACCCTGCTGTGTGAGGTGTGAGGTGTCAGTCTGCACCTAGTGGGGGATGTCTCCCAGTTAGGCTACTCAGGGGTCAGGGACCCACTTGAGCAGGCAGTCTGTCTATTCTCAGATCTCAGCCTCTGTGCTGGGAGATCCATGGCTCTCTTCAAAGCTGTCAGACAGCTGTCAGACTCCACCAAGAGGTAGAGTTTACAGAGACAGGCAGGCCTCCTTGAGCTACGGTGGGCTCCACCCAGCTGGAGCTTCCCAGAGGCTTTGTTCACCTACATAAGCCTCAGCAATGGCGCCCTCCCCCAGCCTTGCTGTGGCCTTGCAGTTAGATCTCAGACTGCTGTGCTAGCAATGAGGGTGGTTCCCTGGGTCTGGGACTCTCCCGGCCAGGTGTGGGATATAATCTCCTGGTGTGCTGTTTGCTAAGACCCTTGGTAAAGCACAATATTAGGGTGGGAGTTACCCAATTTTCCAGGTGTTGTGTGTCTCAGTTTCCCTTGGCTAGGAAAAGGGATTCCCTTCCCCCTTGCACTTCCCAGGTGAGGTGATGCCTCGCCCTGCTTCAGCTCTCACTGGTCGGGCTGCATTAGCTGACCAGCACCGATTGTCCGGCACTCCCCAGTGTGATGAACCCAGTACCTCAGTTGAAAATGCAGAAATCACCCGTCTTCTGTGTCGCTCCCACTGGGAGCTGGAGGCTGGAGCTGTTCCTATTCGGCCATCTTGCTCCCCTCAAGAAGTTTTTTTAGCACAAACACCAGAAAAGATCCTCCAAATAATGTCTTTTTCTTACTATGTCATATTGTTTCCAAAAATGCACCTAAAGTGGCTTTAAACCCAAAGGTTAAAAAATTTAAGATAGTTGAGAATAACAAAAGGGACTGGTATTTAAAAATATGTATACATATAGAGTTGTGTAATGAAGACTTGAGTAATAGCTAACATTTATTATATGTTTACTAAATGACAAGCAGAGGGCTAGGAATTTTGGTTCACTTTCCATAAAATAATATTCATTTCATTAGTATTTTATGGATGCATAAACTGAATTTGAAAGAGATTCTGTAACTTGTACAAGGTTACAACCAAATGGTGGAGTTAGAATATGAACTCTAGGAAGTACGACTGCCCATTCTTTTAGTAACTATACAATAAATAAACATAAATCATTCAATACTCCTGGCAATGAGTGGATAACATTTTATCGTTTATGTCTTCTTACAGCTAATATGTAAGGGAAACACTTGGTTAATTACATGTTTCACAACATGTATCAGTGAAATAAGCCAATTTTTTTTAAAAAGGAAAAGTCAATTTGTTTTTAACCCTTATCAGAAAGGAATTTCTAATTACGGTTATGAATTAGGTCACATAAATGTGTTAAATACTTTAAAAATATTAATAATTGAATATATTATATTATTGTTTTACTTTTCAAGTAGTTTGAATTATCAATATAATCACTATGCAAAAAGTATGATTGCTATTCAGTATATAAAACACATTTATTTGAACAAATCAAATATCTTTCACTGTAACAATGTTTTCTAATTGGAGTTGTGTAGAATAAAATAATGTTATTTTCAACATAATATATAGTTGAATAAACTATAACCTAAAAATTGAAGAGGATCACCCAACTGGTGGCCAGGTTGACACGCATCTCCAAATTTTCTAACTTTATATCCCAAGTTTTGTCTAATATGTTACTGCCTTGAAGCTAACAGCATTCAGACCTATAAACAAAGTAAGTCTTTCTACACATATTGCTAATATCTTTACATTTTGAAATACTTAATTAAAATCTTTATAACTTTAAATACCAGTAAGTGCTGAAAGCATCTTGAAAGTACTGAGTTTATTAGCATATGGCATAGTGCAAAGTTTGAATAGTATTGAAAGACTGTAAGGGTTTCTGTCTCATGGGTAGATAAATAATGAATCCTGATAACTGGATTATTCCTGTTTATTCACATGAAAGTGATGGTGGAAACAGAGAAATTTTGTCAAAGTTGTTCACTAGCTTATTGCTTGATTATATCTGTCCTGTTTCTGCACTATGGCTTGTGAGTACAGATATAAC